TACCGTTAGATGCGACATGGTTTTACAACGAAGGACTTCACAGTAAACGCGACTCCTTTTATCCGATTACGGAATCACACCACCTTCACAAATATATTTCTCGGGAGCCCATATCTGCTTAGTTTTTTGTCGAAAACGTAAATAAAGCAATTTCTAACGAACTGATAGACTTATTTTTAATCCGACATGTTTATTCCTTCAAACGATATTGTAGTGGGCACTTCTTATTATAAATAGACAAATCATTGTCAACAGGACACGTATTCTTTAATTAGATTTCTCGTGTTCCCAGACCAGTAGATGCATCACACACTTTTTGATAAATATATGAAAATAGGGCGTCTATTTCAAATAAGAAGTATCCGCGATAGTAACGGTTGAATTAGTAAAATGTCGGATTAAAAATAAATCTATTAATTCTTCAGAGTTTGTAAACAGTGACTATTACTGCTACTAATGCAATACTCTTCGATAAAACGAATCGAGTTCACTGGCATGTTTATCCAAAAATAAATACGCGTAAAATTCAGCTTAATCCCTGACGTGCGCCAACTGGTTAGGGGTACATTCTCCGACTGACGCCAGGTTTCGATCCTAGCTAGAGGCTACCCTTTTCTACTTACGGATTTGATATCATATATATATATATATATATATATATATATATATATATATATATACTGATGAGCTGTGATACAGTGGAATAATCTGTCTGTGAATGACAATATATATGCTCCTGAAAAATTATTTCGATTGCGCTCTCTGAGGGATAAAGTGTGGGTCTATAAACAGCGACTATTACTGCTACTAATGCAATACTTATCGATAAAACGAATCGAGTTCTCTCAGTCACTGGCGTGTTTATCTAAAAATAAATACATTTAAATTTACTTTCATCCCTGCCGTGCACCAACGCCAATTCGATCCTAGCTAGAGGCAACCGGACGTCTAGGCGTGATACTGCGAAACAGTCTGTCTGTGGATGACAATATATATATATATATATATATATATATATATATATCTATGGATGACAATATATATATATATATATATATATATATATATATATATGTGTGTGTGCTTGTTTTTTTAATCCGATATTTTACTACTTCAAACATTATTATAGCGGAGACTACGTATTTGAAACAGACGCCCCATTTTTATTTATTAGACAGTGGATATTTATCTTTAATCCGATATTTTTTATCATTTCAAACGTTATTCTGTTGGTTACTCGTGTTTGAAATAAACGCCTCATTTTTATTGTTATTTTTAAACAGTGTTCATTACATCCACACATTCGAAATAACTTAATAAAAAAAAAAGAAAAAAAGCGCTCCCGAGAGTAGGAGAAACCGCCATTTAATCCGTGGTAGTCTACCGTTTGGCTACAGGGAGCGTCCCACTTCAGCCAGGGTTCTGTTTTCACTTTTATAATAATAAAATATTATTTCAATCCATTAATTATTTAGAAATTATATTGTTTTCGTCTCGGATAAGAAATTAACCACAGATGGTCTTTTCTGGAAATATATCTGAACGAGGAAGTTAATCACTTTCCTTAAAAACTCCATATATTCTTAGTTTCGTATCCGCAAAGTAAACAATAGAGCCTTTGCTGAACTGTGAAGCGTTTTGTAGCTAGAACGCTAAATGGCGGTTTCTCCTATAAAGGAGGACGCAAATTCGTTCCCTACCGGAAAGCACATTTTTTTTAACAAGAGAATAACGTTTGAAATGATAAAAATATAGGATTAAAAATAAATACAAATATTATCCAATGTTTCATAAATAAAAATGGGGCGTCTTTTGTAAATATAAAGTATCCACAGTAATAATATTTGAAGTAATAAAAAAAAACCTCCCGATATATAGAACATTGAAACAGTTTTACACATTTTATGTTCAGAAAAGTAAACACTTATAAGAACACAAGAAAATATAATCTTTAATGAAACTTGTATATATATATATATATATATATATATATATATATATATATATATATATATATATATAAATGTAATCGATCAGATGCAAATTTATACATATATTTTTGTAGACCTATAGACATTCTTATATATATATTTTTTTTACTATAAACGTTATATTTAGTGGGTGTACGTGTTTGAGTGGGCAACTTCCTAAACAATGATTCGTATAAATATTATATTATTGTGTCGGCGTGTTTGTGTAGACATTGTTGCTCTGAACATCATATCTACCGGTCTAGAAATCGAAAGTCTTACTGAGAAAATATGCCTCCCAAAAGATATCGAACTTGTCTTCCTTTTTTAATTTGAGAAATATTTTTCAATATTTTAATCTGAACAATCATTTTCGAAATAAGTTAAAATGAAAATATAGTTTCGATTTCTGTTCCTAGTTACATTTTGCTTAATAAGACTTTCGATTTCTAGGTTGGTAGATATAAAGTTCAGAATAGGAATGTTTACACAAACACGTCTACACATTAAATATAACGTTTTTAGTAATAAGAGACAATGTCTGATATTTTAAAAATTCCACTCGTGTGTTTGTATATATATATATATATATATATATATATATATATATATATATATGGGGTGCAATGTTTTTGATTTTGTCGACTACACAGTATAGTAGGGTTAGTTGGACACCGTCTGTGAAAAAAAGCACCATGACGCAATTCACTCCGCCAGAAATTTAGAAAAGAGAGGCTTTACTACTTGGCATTCGCCCCAGAGGCTCCAATAAGAACATTTCAGAGTGTTCGGGTGTCAATCTGAGGACAGTACAGAGAATTTTTAAAGAGTTGGATGAGTCTAATGGTGATTACGAAGGTACGGCAATTCGGAAAACACATTTTGATCGCTCTGATGAGAATAGAACTTCCAAATTTGTCGGCGTGGGCTTAAAACGCAACACAGATGCCTACATCAAGTGCCTTGAGGTGAGAGTGCTGTCCAAGGTAAAGAGAATGGCTTCTAGAAGATCCTATGCCTGGCAACAGGACTCTGCACCATGCTACACAAACAGGAGAACCCAGTCTCCATTCATCTGGCTACCTAATACACCAGACTGCAACCTCTTTGAATATTATGTGTGGGGCGCATTTAAGCGAAAGACCAACAAAATTCCTTGTAAAACCAAAGGTAAGATGAAAGCAAGGCTTATGACAGCATTCACCAGATTAAAGAAGGAGACCATTCGGAAAAGATGCAGAAGTTTCTGAAGTCGTCTGGAGGTCTTGGTTGATGCTAATGGCGATTTTATTGAAGAAATATATTCGTTAGTATTTTAAGATATTTTTGTGTCATTTTGGTAAATATATATCTGTTAAAATAAGATACCAATGTTGTTTTCACTTTTGCGTAAATTAGACGATAATTTATCCATCGCACCATGTGTGTGTGTGTGTGTGTGTGTATGTATATGAAGAAATATACTCTTAAGGTGTGCTATATTAATGGGATAAAGTGCTCAATATCAGAGATAGAGCGTGTGTAAATATAAAAGTGAACATGAAGTCCAACAACTTAGAGGCTACAGGCTGTTTTTTCATGCTAGAGGCAATCGTCAGGCCCTACGATCGTGTCTAGCATGAAACAGCCTGTCGCTCTTAAGTGTTGACTCGTTTCTGTTACTATATATATATATATATATATATATATATATATATATATATATATATATATATATATATATATATTAATAATAGTTCCAAAGAGGCTTTTGAAACAGAAATCCAATCTTAAGTCCTTGCTTTCATATTAGAAAATTCCCCTTAAGTACATATGAGGCTGGATAAGTAATGTATATTTCAATTAACCCTCCTTACAATAAAGGTGCTTTTCTTCTTCTTCTTCTTCTTATTATTATTATTATTATTATTATTATTATTGCAATTGACAATATAGTGTTCATTAGTTTAAAAAAAAATTGAAGCGTTAAGTGGTCATTTGATAATAATCGCCTGAGGATTACTATAAGTTTGAAACCAAGATAGCGGATTCAATTGATCTCCTGATTTTTAAAGTTAACAGCTCTACATGTTATTTTTACTTTTATATTATTTTTAACGCGTATATTGTGCACTTTTAATACTACTGTTTTCTGGTCTGCTTCAACTATGACCATTTACTTTATATATATATATATATATATATATATATATATATATATATATAGCTCCACTAAAATGCCCTAAACTTACTGAAATTCTTCATGTATAATACGCTCTCATCCATAATAAGTACCTCTAAAATTATGCTGAAAAATGTGGGAAAATGCTTCTCTTCATGTATAATACGCATCTCTTGTTTGGTAATGAAACCCTATAAATTGTACGTCTCCAATTTCATTACGGTCAGCGTTTCCTACTCTTATTTAAAAAATGGTTTTAAACATAGACTAATAAAATTCTAATTTAATTTTATGATAATTCTTATTTTTTTTTACATTTGTAAGTATTTTTAGATATATATGATTGTATTTGACATCTTTATCAATCAATCAATCAATCGCTGAATGTTAGTGTCAAATTGTTGTATGTTTGTGGTGGGTAGTCATTTCGCAACTGAACTCGATCTATGAAAGCGCGATATTTTAAAGATTTTTTGTAGCTGTGCATAATACGCACCCTTAATTTTGCTTATTATTTTTTTAGAAAAAATGCGTATTATACATTAAAAATCTTTCAAATATCGATTTTTTACCATCTGTCAGCATAATAAAATTCTTTTTAATAATAAAAAAACACTTTCAAAAATAAAATATAATTTTCTAAAGCTTTATTTGAGGATCATTAGTTGATTTAAAAATTAATTTAATTTTTTTACCACTCCGAAAGAATTAATTACTTTAAATGGACTTTTCAGTAGATACTCGTATTTGAGTAGACGCCTCTTTTGTTTATTAAACAGTAGATTTATTTATTTTCATATTTTGCCGGAGAGATTTTGCCACTATTCAGGTCGGTAGACGAAAAGGTTTTTAACCAAAATTTCAAACAGTTCAAAGAGTTAAAAACAAAGGATTTTTTTTATTACGAAATTATATTTTTGATCCTATTCCTCTTTCTCTCTATCCCTCTCTCTCTCTCGCCCTCTTTTTCTCTCTCTCTTTATCTCTTCCTCTCTCTTTTTCTCTCTCTCTTTATCTCTTCCTCTCTCTTTTTCTCTCTCTTTATCTCTTCCTCTCTCTTTTTCTCTCTCTTTCTCCCTATACCTCTTTCTATCTATCTCTATTTAGATCTCTATTTTCTCACTGTCTCTTTCTCTATCCCTCTTTCTCACTTTCTCTATTCCTCTCTCTCGCTATTCCTCTTTCTCTCTATCCCTCTTCTCTTGCTATTGATCTTTCTCTCTATCCCTCTCTCTCTTTCTTTCTCTCTCTCCCTCTTTCTATCTCTCTCTATATATATCCCTATTTTTTCACTGTCTCTTTCTCTATCCCTCTTTCTCACTCTCTCTCACTATCCCTCTTTCTCTCTCTCTATTCCTCTTTCTCTCTATCCCTCTCTCTCTCCCTCTTTTTCTCTCTTTATCTCCTCCTCTCTCTTTTTCTCCCTATACCTCTTTCTATATATCTCTATTTTATTTTCTCACTGTCTCTTTCACTATCACCCTTTCTCACTCTCTCTATCCCTCTCTCTCGCTATTCTTCTTTCTCTCTGTCCCTCTCTCCCTCGCTATTCATCTTTCTCTCTATCCCTCTCTCTCCCCCTCATTCTCTCTCTCCCTCTTTCTATCTCTTTATCTCTTCCTCTCTCTTTTTCTCTTTCTTTCTCTCTATCCCTCTTTCTCGCTCTCTAGCCCTCTTTTTCTTACTTTGTCTTTATTCTTCTTTCTCTCTCTTTATCTCTCCCTCTCTATCTCTTCCTCTTTCTCTCTCTTTCTTTCCATCTCACTTTCTCTATTAAATTTAATCTATTAGCGTGAAATTAAAAGTAAAAGCTTCAAGAAAGATTCTTCACTTCTTAAGATTCATTTTAAACGTTTGGTATAGCCACATTATTTACATTATTCGGACTATTGTCCTCTTCTTTGTCGCCATATTTTTACTCTCCGGCCTTCTTCAGGTGGTTGGAATGCCGAACTGAACCCTTTATTCCGCTCGCTGGGGACGACTGTTCCAGTCCCACGTTTAATGGATGTCAGTTACCAGTTATCTCCTGTTAATTCCCCTCTGAAAGTTGTCCACTGCCTTAACCAAGTATTGAACTCACACTCTTTGGGTCCTGTCACTGGATCTAACCAACGCTTTTATCCACTGTGCCGTGTGTCCTTGAGGACATGGCGTTACATTGGCGGTACTTAGATAAATAAATAATAGATTTTATTTGTAAATTTTTGACTGACGTTGAGACACTTAGCAAAGGAGATTCATTTTTTTTTTTCGTTTTTGACATTAATTGGTTTTTTTTACGATGTGAAGTTGTCATCCCCTCACCTTATCGGTTTTGAGTTCATCGCCCAATAGTTAAGCAACTCTAGCGAGGTCAACTGTAGCGAGGTCAATTGTAGCGAGGTCAATGGGCTTTTATATTCACCCGATGCTGGAGAGAAATAGATGAATTCTAACTGATCCCCAAGGGCATTTGCGTGACAAAGAATGCAACGGTCGCTGATGGGATGAGAACTCGTCACGTCAACCTCGCTTCTTTCTTTCTTTTTTAAATCATCCCTTCCCCAAGCAAGGATATAAAGCCACTAAGATGCAAGGGGTTACCGTGTGTAAAAGAATATGAGAAAAGATAAAGAGAGAGAGAACAATAAAAAGATATGAATTAGAATATCAGATCGACATTTCATTTAAAGTTTGGAAGGTGAAAGGCAATAAAGCCACTAAGACGCAAGGGGTTACTGATTTTTACAAAATATGAGAGAAAAAAACTACTATTAAAGAGAGATGACAATAAAAGAACAAGAATTAAAACGATAGAAGATAACGATTGACATTGCATTTCAGTTTAGGAAGATCAAAGGCAATAAAGCTATTAGCACATAAGGGGGTTACTGAGTGTTGGGAAATTTGAGAAAAAACTACTATTAAGGAGAGAGGACAATAAAAAAAACAATAATTAAGTAGAGAGAAGATAATGATTGACATTGCATTTAAATTTTAAATTTTGGAAGATGAAAGGCAATAAAGCCACTAAGACGCAAGGGGTTACTGATTTTTACAAAATATGAGAGAGAAAAAACTACTATTAAAGAGATATGACAATAAAAGAACAAGAATTAAGAAGACAGAAGATAACGATTGACATTGCATTTAAATTCTGGACGATCAAATTTGGCTTGGAAGCAAGAAACAGGAAGAAGAAACTTTTAGCATAGAACTTACGGTTGCATCTATCAATTTTAAATGTAAAATGATGAGACCTAGCTGTCAATCGAGTACTGCGCGTAAATTTCGTAAAATACCAAAGAGAAAATCTAATCAGCACAATTGACATGAAAGTATTTCTACAAAATGACGAAGGAAGCTAAGTTAGCAGTGCGAAACTGACCCGAAGCCGAGATGGCATGACAAATAACATTACGGATTCTTTATTGGATTTTCTGAAAAATTTCTAAATATATAGAAGATGTGGCAGCCATATTCAAAGCATGAGCAAATTGTAGTCTTTACTTGAAAACACGCAGGTTTATCTCCTTCTCTCTTGATATCCAATATAATCATTCCCTTTCATGTCAGAGGAAAACTTTTTATTTCTTATCAATTATTTATTACTATTTACTTAATAACACATCATAGCGAACGTTTATATCCTTCTCTTTTGATATTCAATATAATCATTCCCTTTCATGTCAGAGGAAAACCTTTTATTTCTTATCAATTATTTATTACTATTTACTTAATAACACATCATAGCGAAGGTTTATCTCCTTCTCTTTTGATATTAAATATAATCATTCCCTTTCATGTCAGAGGAAAATCTTTTATTTCTTATCAATTATTTATTACTATTTACTTAATAACACATCATAGCGCAGGTTTATCTCCTTCTCTTTTGATATTCAATATAATCATACCCTTTCATGTCAGAGGAAAACCTTTTATTTCTTATCAATTATTTATTACTATTTACTTAATAACACATCATAGCGAAGGTTTATCTCCTTCTCTTTTGATATTCAATATAATCATTCCCTTTCATGTCAGAGGAAAACCTTTTATTTCTTATCAATTATTTATTACTATTTACTTAATAACACATCATAGCGAAGGTTTATCGCCTTCTCTTTTGATATTCAATATAATCATTCCCTTTCATGTCAGAGGAAAACCTTTTATTTCTTATCAATTATTTATTACTATTTACTTAATAACACATCATAGCGAAGGTTTATCGCCTTCTCTCTTGATATTCAATATAATCATTCCCTTTCATGTCAGAGGAAAACCTTTTATTTCTTATCAATTATTTATTACTATTTACTTAATAACACATCATAGCGAAGGTTTATCGCCTTCTCTCTTGCTATTCAATATAATCATTCCCTTTCATGTCAGAGGAAAACCTTTTATTTCTTATCAATTATTTATTACTATTTACTTAATAACACATCATAGCGAAGCTTTATCTCCTTCTCTCTTGATATTCAATATAATCATTCCCTTTCATGTCAGAGGAAAACCTTTTATTTCTTATCAATTATTTATTACTATTTACTTAATAACACATCATAGCGAAGGTTTATCTCCTTCTCTCTTGATATTCAATATAATCATTCCCTTTCATGTCAGAGGAAAACCTTTTATTTCTCATCAATTATTTATTACTATTTACTTAATAACACATCATAGCGAAGGTTTATCTCCTTCTCTCTTGATATTCAATATAATCATACCCTTTCATGTTTGAAAACCTTTTATTTCTTATCAATTATTTAACTATTTACTTAATAACACATCATAGCGAAGGTTTTCTCCTTCTCTTTGATATTCAATATAATCATTCCCTTTCATGTCAGAGGAAAACCTTTTATTTATTATCAATTATTTATTACTATTTACTTAATAACACATCATAGCGAAGGCGATCTCTTCTCTCTTGATATTCAATATAATCATTCCCATTCATGTCAGAGAAAACCTTTTATTTCTTATCAATTATTTGATATTTCTTAATAACACATCATAGTTTATCTCCTTCTCTTTTGATATTCAATATAATCATTCCCTTTCATGTCAGAGGAAAACCTTTTATTTCTTATCAATTATTTATTACTATTTACTTAATAACACATCATAGCGAAGGTTTATCTCCTTCTCTCTTGATATTCAATATAATCATTCCTTTCATGTCAGAGGAAAACTTATTTTTTATTTCTTATCAATTATTTATTACTATTTACTTAATAACACATCATAGCGAAGGTTTATCTCCTTCTCTCTTGATATTCAATATAATCATTCCCTTTCATGTCAGAGGAAAACCTTTTATTTCTTATCAATTATTTATTACTATTTACTTAATAACACATCATAGCGAAGGTTTATCTCCTTCTCTCTTGATATTCAACATAATCATTCCCTTTCATGTCAGAGGAAAACCTTTTATTTCTCATCAATTATTTATTACTATTTACTTAATAACACATCATAGCGAAGGTTTATCTCCTTCTCTCTTGATATTCAATATAATCATACCCTTTCATGTCAGAGGAAAACCTTTTATTTCTTATCAATTATTTATTACTATTTACTTAATAACACATCATAGCGAAGGTTTATCTCCTTCTCTTTGATATTCAATATAATCATTCCCTTTCATGTCTGAGGAAAACCTTTTATTTATTATCAATTATTTATTACTATTTACTTAATAACACATCATAGCGAAGGTTTATCTCCTTCTCTCTTGATATTCAATATAATCATTCCCATTCATGTCAGAGGAAAACCTTTTATTTCTTATCAATTATTTATTACTATTTACTTAATAACACATAGGTTTATCTCCTTCTCTTTTGATATTCAATATAATCATTCCTTTCATGTCAGAGGAAAACCTTTTATTTCTTATCAATTATTTATTACTATTTACTTAATAACACATCATAGCGAAGGTTTATTTCCTTCTCTCTTGATATTCAATATAATCATTCCTTTCATGTCAGAGAAAACATTTTATTTCTTATCAATTATTTATTACTATTTACTTAATAACACATCCAAGGTTTATCTCCTTCTCTTTTGATATTCAATATAATCATTCCCTTTCATGTCAGAGGAAAACCTTTTATTTCTTATCAATTATTTATTACTATTTACTTAATAACACATCATAGCCAAGGTTTATCTCCTTCTCTCGTTTGATATTCAATATAATCATTCCTTTCATGTCAGAGGAAAACCTTTTATTTCTTATCAATTATTTATTAATATTTACTTAATAACACATCATAGCGAAGGTTTATCTCCTTCTCTTTTGATATTCAATATAATCATTCCCTTTCATGTCAGAGGAAAACCTTTTATTTCTTATCAATTATTTATTACTATTTACTTAATAACACATCATAGCGAAGGTTTATCTCCTTCTCTTTTGATATTCAATATAATCATTCCCTTTCATGAAAACCTTTTATTTCTTATCAATTATTTATTACTATTTACTTAATAACACATCATAGCGAAGGTTTATCTCCTTCTCTTTTGATATTCAATATAATCATTCCTTTCATGTCAGAGAAAACCTTTTGTTTCATATCAATTATTTATTACTATTTTTTAACACATGCAGGTTTATCTCCTTCTCTCTTGCTATTCAATATAATCATTTCCCTTTCATGTCAGAGGAAAACCTTTTGTTTCTTATCAATTATTTATTACTATTTACTTAATAACACATCATAGCGCAGGTTTATCTCCTTCTCTCTTGATATTCAATATAATCATTCCCTTTCA